TGGTCTCTTTCGTTTATATAAATATATATATATATATATATATATGTATGTATATATATCGTTTCAATATTGGTTGATGCTCCATCCATTTTGGGATAAAGTAACATGTTGATACTCCAGTTTTGGTACACTAATTTTCCTCTCATAAAAAATAGTCCACCATGTTACAATTTCATCAATTTTAGCACAATAATCTAGAGAGGCCAAATTACGTGATGACGTGGACAAGGATTGAAACACGTCAAATTACGTGTTTACGTGGACAAGGATTGAAACGGCGTGGAATGATAGAACTTTGACATGGAAGGATTACAATTTTCTACGTCATCGCGTAATTCGGCCCCTCAATATTACTATAGTAAAATTGACAAAATTGTAATATAGTTGACTATTTTTTATGAGGAGAAAATTAGTGTACCAAATTGGACAATGGTTAACTTAGAACAAAAATAGTAATATAGTGAACTATTTTTTATGAGGAGAAAATTGGTGTATCAAATTGGACAATGGTCAAAATTGGATGTGTATCTCACATTTTATATCGATCACACATTCCACCTAACAACTTAAACCAGGGACAACGTCTTTTCAACTACCATATACTATCTGGTAATGGGAAAACAATAAAAAGTCCGAAATATTAATGTCTAGTTTATATAACTTAAAATAAAGTAGGTAAGTTCATTAAATGATAATAATAATAAATGCAATTGTAGATATATTTGGTGGACGTGCGATTATATCGGCTGCTTTGGTACGTGTCTTTTTATCAACCAAACTTTTCTTTTCCTTGCCTTTTTTTTAAATTTTTTCTACCCATTTTTTTTTTTTTTTTGGCCATTTCATAATACACTCTTATTTACGGTAGGCACATGTTAATATGTCCACCGTTTATGTGGCATACAAAAATAATTATACTCCCCTCCATTAGACTTTGGCAATTTATGAATTTGTAGATGTTGGATTTGTAGCTTGCTTAGTGGGCTGACATGTGTATCGGGAAATAATTATATGATGATAGTTTAACTGTACATCTTCAAATTGTATCGTGCGAGAATGGTTCCTTAATTTAAAGCTATTAGATCAATTAGTTTTGATAAGACCCTTAGATTAAGTCAAACAAAGTTGAACTTGCAATTACTTATTGTAGTTTTATACGAATGAATGGTCTCGTTACGGGTTTATAGCATTTTCTGTTCTTTTGTAGTTTATAAAAACCCATATCAGAATTCGAAATTTGTCAACGTGTTGTCTATGATGATGGGTGAGGATTATTCATGGATACCGTGAAGCTAACTTTGTAGCAGATTTTCTGGCTTCCTTGGCAGCAAAAGGACCGGGTGGTCTGCATATTTTGGACCGTCTACCTCCGGGGGCGGGTCTATGGTTACAACACGACATTGCCGGCGTGTCTCATCCACGTAGGGTGTTGACATAGTCGAATCCCAAGCTTTGCCTCCTTTCTTGTACAAAAAAAAAGTTCCTATTACACTTTTTCATTGTACTTTTTAGTTACTATTTATTTATAATATGTATTATAGAACTGTTCGCTGAATATTTTTGCTATCTGCAAGTGTACTGCGTAGCTATAGATAGTGACGAGCAAAGTCGTATTTTACAGAGATTAATGTAGTTAAATTAATTAAGTACTAAAATCGTGATGATTAAATATTATCTAGACTAATGAATTGGATGGTGATTATATGAACTAAGAAAATAAATTAAGAACAAATTTACCTAATAAAATTAAAATAAAATAAGATACAAAAGATATATTCTAGGCTTAATCCTCAGAATTAATTCATGAAACGTTTATATTCATACAAACTTGTTTAATTTTACCAATAGTAGAGATAATCGTTAAATTGATTTCAACATTTATCTCGAACAAATAAATCGTATATATTAATTGATGTCTATATCCTTTCGGTCTCAAGATAAACAACTAACTCTCATAATTAAACTTTGAACCGAGCTCGAGCCAAGATCGAGCATTTTGAATTCGAGTCGAGCTCGAACTCTTGTATTTTTTTATCGAGTCGAGCTCGAGCTCGAACAACTGCAAAAAAAAAAAATCAATCCTACTCGACAAAACTAATGCTCGACTCAGATCGACTCGTTTGCTGCTCCAGTTTGACCTCATGGTAGCTTTTGTAATAGAAGGAATATAAGATTTTATACTTAAAATGTGATCCTTCAAATTTGATCTTACCGAAAACATAAAGGCGGTGATACTACGAACTTCAACGAAATAATATCCTTTGCTTTTATATCATAGTAAACGTGGCCACATAGAACAGTTTTTTTTTATGCTTTGTATTACTTCTTGATTCGGTTTAATTCACTATTTTGGTACTTGATGTTACGTAGTTGATTTTTATTTTTATTATTTTTTTATTTAGTCTTTTGTGTTATTCACATTCATACACTAAAAAAAAAAAAAGGGTGTCTATATGTACACCCCCTCAAGTGTAAAAAAGGGGTGTACATATAGCACTTTTCTTTGTGTAATTTATTAAAAGGGGGTGTACATATAGCATTGCCCAAAAAAAATTCCAACGGTAAAAATTTTTGTTAGAAATTCAAATGAATATTCCAACAACTTGGTGATTGGATATGAATTCAAGTAATAAAAAACTAGTTTTTTTTTAAACTATAGTTAAATTTGAAAAAAAATAATATGGTTAGTTGTTAGTGTATATATTAAAATAATATTTATATTAAAATAATTAAGTTGAGTTGATGTAAAAGTAAGAAAAAATGATTGGAAGTGATGGTTAGTTAAAATTATGTGAGTGGATTAATAGTGAATTAAAAGTTGATGTGATGTGTAATAATGATTGGTTGATAATATTGATAATAGTGAAGTTAAGTTAAAGTTGATAATATTGATAATATGGAGATAGTGAAGTTAAGTAAAGTTGAGTTAAATTTGAGTTTTGATTGAGATTTTTACCGTACGATATGTAAGGGTGTGATTGTTTATGGATTGAATTGGTTTTTATTTGGTTTGTTTTTAACTATAGTTAATTTTGAAAAAAAGTAGTATGGTTAGTTGTTAGTGGATATATTAAAATAATATTTAAATAAAATAATTAAAACTGATTTGATGTAAAGTAGAGAAAAAATGATTGGAAGTGATAGTTAGTTAGAGTTATGTGAGTGGATGAATAGTGAATTAAAGTTGAAAAATTTCAACAAATATAAAAACTGTTTGGAAAATTTAATTGGATAA